TCGCGAATCATGATACTCGCCGAGGAGGCGAGTCCGAAGACGGCGGTCGCGTGGGACACATAGTAAGTCCTTGCCCCGCGAGTGCAGGAGCAAGTACCCATCGACGATGCGATAGTGGCTGGTCGGCGGGTGATCCGAAGATAGTTGYGCATATAGCGTGGCGAAGTCTGGATCGAACTCATAGCCCCTGATGAAGTGTCGCTGGAGCTCCTCGTCGAATGCGAAGGTATGATGTGTCATAGCGCAAAGATCAGGTCTTCGCGAGAGTGCATCTGCTGCGCGATTGGAGAGGCCGAGAAGATGTTTCGGTGTGAAGTCAAATTGGTCGATGAAGTACATCCATCGTCCAATCGTGCTGCTCACCGTATCCTGCGTCTTGTAGTAAGTCAGTGGGTTGTTGTCCGTAACCCATGTGAACCTACGACGCCCAAGGAGGAAGTGCCGCCATCGGTCGAGAGCCATGACGAATGCGAGCAGCTCCTTCTTCCTTGCATCATCAAGCGAGTTGATGGGAGGCACTTTGTGGCTGAAATACTCCACAGGGTGCCAATCGTCGCCGTCGTGTTGTTCCAAGACTGCCCCAATGCCATAGCTGGAAACGTCAGTTGTCACTCTCGTAGGCAGGGTGGGGTCATAGATGCTAAGGACGGGTGCCATGAGCATGGTCGTCTTAAGTGCTTGGAATGACCAGCGTGCGTCGTCATTGAATACGAATGGCACCTTTGGCGATTGTAATCTCGTCATAGGTGCAGCAATCCTCGAGTATTCGGTGATGAATCGCTGATAGTAGCCCACCAATCCCATGAATGAACGAACGTCCGTGGTGTTGGTGGGCTCGGGCCAYACTCGTAGGGCCTTGATCTTGTTCGCAAGCGGACGGATGCCTTGCGGCGTCACATAATGCCCCAAGTACTCCAGCTCYTGCCGCACGAATTCGCACTTGTCGTGGTTGGCTTTGTACTTGGCTTGTCGTAGCCACTCCAAAACTGTGCGCAGGTGTTCCACATGCTCGTCCAAACTCCGGCTGTACACCAGGATGTCGTCGAGGTAGATAAGTACGTATCGATCCAGCATGTGTCGGAACTCCGTTGTCATAGCCACTTGGAAAGTGGTCGGGGCATTCGTAAGGCCAAATGGCATAACCAGCCATTTGAAATGCCCATATCSCGTCTTAAACGCGGTCTTGTAGCGGTCCTCCTTGCGAATTTCGAGTTGGTGATATCCCGACTTGAGGTCAAGCTTGGAGAAGAACTTGGCGCCGCCCAGTCGTTCGAGAAGGTCGTCGATGCGTGGGAGACGGCCAGCATTTCTGATCGTCTGCTCGTTGAGCTTGCGATAATCGATGCGCAGCCGCAAATCCTTGTTCTTCTTCCGGACGAAGAGAACAGGAGCACCGTATGGCGATGAGCTAGGCCGTATCCAGCCTTTCTCTAGAAGGTCGTCGAGTTGTGCCCGAAGCACACTTAACTCTTCCTCGCTCATTCGGTAGATGCAACCGCGTGGAGGTACGGCCCCGTCCTCGAGGATGATCTCGTGGCGGATGGGCCGATCTGGTACT